CCGTGAAGACCATGAGGCCCGACATGCGCCATGTCAAGTTTAGAGTTTAGGGTTTAGGGGTTTAGGGTTTAGGGTTTAGGGGTTTAGGGGTTAGGGTGCGGAGTCCTTGGGGCATTTTGCCATACCTGACTTTGGGAGGAGGAAGATGCAATGGACCCCCCACATGAAGAACTGTGAGGAATCAGCGCCGCATAGTTGTCTTGGGACAAGCAGGGCATGTTTGACAAACGTGTCCATGCTGTGTTCCGCAGACCCTGGCATGCCATGACATCAGGCATTCGATGGTGCCAGTATGGCACGGATAGTTGTGCCGAGGGGAAGAGCACGCCAGAATCCACGTCTAGAGTTTTCAAGACCGAACCGACATATTAATATGAAGATCCCTCATGGTCCTAAACTCGGCGTGTCCAACAAGGCTTCCAAAAGCCGTGAGCAACTGAGAGAAGCTTCTCGCGCTTTGAACGAGCAGCTCGCAGTCGTGGAGGCTCGAAGGGCGACCAGGTGAAGCACAGGTGTCAGGGCAAGCCCTTCTCAACTCCAAGTCATGAGCTATGCAGAATCATGGTTGGTGCGATGTCTCGACTTGATATGCACCTGGCCTGCCAAACTCGAAGTCAAGCCTTTCTGCAGATTTGCAGAAGTTCGATGTCAGTGCGAATCTGCCGTCAGGAAAAGCTCCTAAGCAATCCCCACGCCGATGCCAACTGCTGTAACCATGATGTCAATATGGGGAGGGTCGTTGCCTTCATTGCTTCGATCAGTCTTGCCTTTACTCAATCATGAGAACATCGTCCCAGGAGAAAGTTCAGCGGATGTCAGAGCAAAGTGATCTGGCATTGCTGAGCGTAAGCCACCCGGTCCGATGGGCGGTTTGTAGGGCTTTCAGCTTTAGGAGGGCCCTCAGAAGTTTGCGAAGACACAGCGGTTCCGTTCATGGGGACGGGCCTGCTGAGGTGCGGAATGAGGTTGCCCGGGTGGCCGGGGCTGCGCAGGATCTGGCCCCGGAGGTTGAGCAGGCGAGCAGTAGGGGATCGACTGAGCCCGGTGAATCTCGGCTTTGGGTTGCGTGTTGATGCAAGTTGCAATCCTGGTTTCTGAGGAGTTGCTTTAGTTGGCGACCGAAGGGGTTTTGTGCAGGCATGTCGCCGATTAGTCGGTGAGGAGGCGCAGATGCAGGCTGACAAGTGCCTTGGACAACCAGTCGGGGTCGCTGTTGGGGGCATCATGTTTACAAACTGACGGATGCTGCCTTATTCATGGACCAGATCGGAGAATGAGAGCAGTAGGTGGGTTCATAAATGTAGCCGTGCTATTCGAGCAATCAATGACGTTCGTTTAACATGGCGACTGGCTCAATTGAAAATTGCGAGTGCCCTGTCCGACCTGTCCAGCCAAGGTGGGCCCAAGCTTTCCACTATCACAAGCAGGCGGGCAAAAGAGAAGATCTATGCAGCAATGTTGCAGAAGAGCCACATATCTTGTGACCTGAATTTACCCCTATACACCCTGAACCCTAAACCCTAAACCCTAAACCCTAAACCCTAAACCCTAAACCGACCGGCCCCAAAGCCTTCCGTTTCGCTCAGGTCGCGAGCGAAGCGCTGACGACGGCGATCGCGGAGCCGCGGTCCGAGGTGAAGGCCCTGCGCCGGGAGCTCAAGAAATATTGTCATGCTCAGTTCTTGTCATTGCTTGAAAGGTTGATATTATTATGATTGCATTTGCTGTTTTGCTGTTTTTTTTACTATTCTCCTTGTTCTTACCAGTCTCATATTGCCATTACTATCACTATGAATATTATCATTATCATTATTACGATGACTATTGACCATTACTATAGCCTCTTCTCCTCTCCCGCTCCAGAGCCTCGAGCTCGTCGAGCTCGTGCGGGCCTCGTTCCGTCTGTCTCGGGTGTGGTAAACTTGGCTGTGCCCTTCGAAGTGGGCTGAGTAATAGCAATAATACGTAGTAACTCGTAGTAGTCGTGATAACCAGTAGTCGTGGTCGTCGCAGTAGTAGTAGTAGTAGTAGTAGTAGTAGTAGCAATGATAGTTATAATGCTGAGATGCTGCTGACATTGAGCCTGCCAGGATGATAGGCACACACAGTCACCAAGATTCTGCCAAGCGTCAGAGTTCACGCTGCACAATCGTGCCTTGCTGAGGCCTCGCCCTGTCCGAACAGGAAGCCGGAATCCCAACAGTCGTGCAGTCTGCATGCGGGAGTAGCACAGCTAACTGCGCACTCGTGGCCGAAGGAAGACGCCGACTAGTTGCGCGCAGATCTCTCAAGCGAGTTCTTTGCTTCCGCGTTGTTCTGTTGTATGCCAATCTGTGCACACATCTGAGTTGGACTCGCTGCAGGCTGCAATGGCTGCCCGGTTTGAGCGCCTTGCAGGTGATGTGCAGCGACAGGCTGGGCGGGCGTTGTCCCGGCCGAATCAGAGTTGACATGGTCGTTCGTAGATCGCTCTCAGATCACGAGGGCTGTTGTGAGTTGTGGACCTGAGTGGCTGGCAAGTAAATTATGGCAGCACTGCTTACAGTAGGGGCCGGGCAGTGGGCAGCCTCGCAGCAAGCCAGGATCGAGCAATCAGCAGCCGCTTGTGCTGCTGACATGTCTTGAGTTGCCGGGCTGTTATGGGGATGAGCATGTTCCGGCCGAGCCGTCGAGCTGTTGGGTTGGATGCCAGGAAGCATGAGATCGAAGAGTTGACGGTGGTGTCCTCGGCAGCTTGTGTGCGTGTGTGGGTGTGTCCTGTACATGGCGACCATTGAGTGAGACAGTGAGACCAAGCTTTACTTGCAGGGTGCATGGCTCTGTGATGCCACCGTACCCAACGAAGCTGTGCATCAGAGAGGGAAGCCAAGCCTGATCAGCTTGGTGTACTTGCCCAAACTACCCCAAAGATGCTGTTGGTCGCTCGCTGCAGTCATCCGTGCCGAATTAACCTTTAACCTTGTTGGGTGACATTTTACATTTTTATTTATATTGGGGGGAGGGTCACTATTATACTTACAACCTTGTAATACACATATACATACTTTTATATGTGTAGATACATATGGGCTCCAAAGAGGCCTTTTAATTATCTATCTATCCATAAATATGTGTATATATATATATATATCTCTCTCTGTCCATTAAATCCCCAACCTCGCCTCGCCGCGGCACGTGGCTTCGGCACGGGGCTGCTGGCAGGGTAGACGGACAGGGCTGGGGTAAGTAGGGATAAGGGTTCTCCGACGTAGGGTTCGGTAGTGGGTAACTACGGTACAAGGTTCGCCAAGGGTCGGCGTTAGGTAGATAAGGTTGAGGGTTCGCCAAGGGTCGGCGTTAGGTAGGCTAGGGGTGATGAGGGCTCGCCAGGAAAGGCGTTAGTTAGGTAAGGGTGCAAGGGTTCGCCAAGGGTCGGCGTTAGGTAGGCTAGGGGTGATGGGCGTTAGTTAGGGAAGGGTGAGGGCTCGCCACGATTGGCGTTAGTAGGCTAGGGGTGAGGGCTCGCCAGGAAAGGCATTAGATAGGTAAGGGTGAGGGCTCGCCACGGTTGGCGTTAGTAGGCTAGGGGTGAGGGCTCGCCAGGAAAGGCGTTAGTTAGGTAGGGTGGGGGCTTAGGTAGGCTAGGGGTGAGGGAAGTAGTAGAGATAAGAGGGCTCGCCAAGAAAGGCGTTAGGTAGGGGGCCGATTGGAGTTAAGTTAGACTGCGGAATGCAGTAAACCTGTCAAATCTCCAAGCTTTAATCGCGCAGGAGCTTTACGGCCCGCCCGACGAGGATGGATGCTTCCATCTGGAATAGCCCTGGGCTCAGTAGGAACCCGAAACCTTAAACCCTAGACCCTAGCCGCTAAACCCTAAATCCTAGATGCTAGACCTTAACCCTTAACCCCTAAGTTAACCCCTAAACCCTAAACTTTAGACCCTAACTCCTAAACTCTAGGTTCTAGACCACGCAGGCAAAGAGCGCTCATTGCCCTAAGCCCTATAGATTCTAAACTATGCAGGACATCATCGATGCTTGCAGTGCGCCGGACGAGGACGCAAAGAGCTCCCATAGCATCGAGCACTTCACTGCGTTCATGCAGGTGCCTCCTGGCGAGTGGATCCTGAGGCTGTTGTAAGTTCGGTAGGCGAGATGACGCTCACGGGCCAGTGCCGGCACAATGGCATGTCTGCAGAACCTAGTTGAAACAGGTGAAGACGTGATAAATAAACGTAGATAAGATCCTAGTCTTTGCCGAAGGCTTCTTGCAAAGGCACTGGACTGTTGAGCCCAACGTAGTTTAGGCGAGGATCACTCAGGCCAGTGCTGGGACCTAGGGCTTGGAGGTTTAAGGTTTGGGAGTTTAGGGTTGAGGTTTTAGGGTTTACCTCGGCCATGCAGCACATCAACAGCGGGTGCGGTGGTGATGGCCCGCTCTTAATGCTCGAACTAGTTCCGCAGGATTGGATTGATCGAATCTCTCGCCTCTAGTGCCTGTAGCTTCTGTAGTGGTTCTTTTCGGTGTCTGACGAAGTGTTAGACGGCCGCGCGGCTGACAGACCTCTGAGTCCGCGAGAGAGAGAGAGAGAGAGAGAGAGAGAGAGTGCTTTTCCTTGGAAGGGGGGGTGGGGGATGCCCGCGACATTGCCAGGTCGGACCATGAACCAGTCCTGATTCAGCTTCGAACCCAAGTCCCCAAGGGCAGCCACCGCAAGCCGTCATGTGGGCCCAGGCACATTGCTGTCAAAGACCCCAAGGAGCGCAAAGCCATCCTCAACGAGACGGCCCGGGTGAAACCGGGGGACCGGCACCACCAGATCTCCGAGATGAGCCAGCTGCTCACCAAGACAGGCAGGGGGTATGTGCGCAAGTTCCAGGAAAGCAAAGGACTCAAGCAGGCAAGGCGAGACGCGCACCAAGTGCCGGCGGGGCAGGCTAGAAGGCAGGCATGGAAAGCCGTTCACAAGCAGCTCAAGGGGGAACACAAACAGTGGAAGCAGCACATGACTGCCCTCGCCAGCCAACACGACTGGCCGGCGTACAGACAGCACAAGCGCAGCGCACAGATGGGGGACATGTGGGTGGCGACGCTGACGGACAACCACAACTGGCAAGGAGCACTACTTGCACACTTTCAGAGCATCTTTGGCAAAGCAGACGGGGGGGCCAGAGACGCGGACTTCGCCGAAAAGGGCTTGCAAGCACACGAGGTGGGTCCCCTTCACACAAGACGAACTCATGGCAGTCTCGGCACGGTGGAAGAACAACAAGTGCACGGGGCCGGACCTCATCGCACATGAGGCCCTCCACATCCTCAAACAGCACCCCATTTGGGAGCACAGGCTGAGAGAGATGCTCAACGACGCGCTCTATGAGGGGGGGCTACCAGCTGCAGCCGAGAAGGGCATGACGGTCTTACTCCCCAAAGAGGCCATGCCCAAGCACTGGGGGGAGACAAGGCCCATAACGCTAAGCAGCACCATCCTCAAAGCAATTGCGCAGTTGCTGCTACGAAGATGCACCTATACATTCCAACCCCTCAACACACTCCAGTGGGCAGCCCCCCGCAAGCAGGGGACAGAACTTATCCTCACCCTCAGGAAGGTGGCCAGGATGGCGAGAGACTGGGGGGGGCATTTTTGGATCATCAAACTTGACCTGCAGAAGGCGTTTGACTCGGTGGCGCAGACCAGTCTAGCAGCACTGGTCGAAGAAAGAGTGGGGCCGAACCACCCGTGGGAGGCACGGCTCTGGCTGGCACTCCTGCAGGCCAGAGAACTTGTGGTGGGGGTGGGGGAGGAGGAGGTGGCAGTACAGCAAACAAATGGTGTACGCCAAGGATCGCCTGATTCCCCGGTGCTTTTCTCGGCAAGGGTGGGGGAATGCCTGCAAGACACCCTCAAGCAGACACAGCAACAGCCCCGAGCGGGGGAAGACCCCAGACTACCGCCACCTCCACACCATGGGGGCTCCTACATGGACGACACGTACCTGTGGGGGGAGAACCCCCTGCACCTGCAGGCCACGCTGGAGAAACTGGAAGCTGCCTTCAAGAAGCACGGGCTCAAAATCAACCCCAAGAAAACCAGGATCATAGCCAGCACGGACCACCCCTTTGTCTTCAAGATCGACGGCCAGTGGGTGGAAGCAGAGAGGGGGGAAGCAGCGCTCACAGTGCTGGGATCGCCGGTCAGCTTCGCGGGGGGGCCACAGCACCTGGCAGCGGAGATGGGGGCGAGAGCCAGAAAATCGTTCGGCAAGAACAAACCCCTCCTGGTGGCCAAGACGGCGTTGAAGCAAAGGCTCCAGCTCCACAACACGTTGGTCCGCCAAAGCGCGCTATGGGCGTGCGAGACGTGGCCCGTGCACGACACACTGCTTCGGGCGGCCAACACGCAGCAACTGCAGCATGCACGAGCAATGGTGGGGGGAGCGCGCGCGCCGGGGGAGGCCTGGGCCGACTGGAACACACGCACCATGCGGATGGCACGCACGCACCTCTTCAAGAATAAAATCGAACGATGGTCCACCTACATCCTCCGGATGATCTGGGGGGTCTGGGGGCACGTGGCGAGGGGGGGGCAGGCCACACTAGAAATGTTGCAATGGAGGGGGATTGCATGGTGGTGGCAGCAACAAGCTTTGCGCAAGACGGAGGGGGCCAGACACGCAGGGAGGTTCAACAGCGGGCTTGACACTGAGAGGCACATTATAGCAACTGCAGGGACAGGCTGGGTGGGGGCTGCAGCTGACAGAATTCACTGGAACAACCTCGAAGCCAAGTTTGTGCAAGCCTTTGACCCGCCGTGGTGCAGCGGCAAGCAAGCCCAGATCCAGAACCTTGCCCCGACGCGACAGCAGGGACGCAACAACCCACGAGCAAAGCCACGAGCACTTCACAACCGCAAGAGAGGAGGGGGCAAGAACAGGCACTGCAGAGCGTTGAATGACGGCTGACCGCCGGACAGACTGGACGCAGTGGGGGGCCAGGTGCCGTTTGCACTCAAACCGCTGACCACGTACCGCCTCGCACAACACAGCCTACAACTGACAACCCACAGCTACCAGCTTTCACCAGCCACAGAGGGGAGAGAGACAGAGGGAGACCTTGCAGCCAGTCACATGACAGTCAGTTGCTTGCATGTTGACATGTCAGTGCAAAGCCAGCATCGTGCAGTTTTCTTCAGCTGAGTGCCGGCAGCACAAAGGCCCGAGCCCCAGCTGAGAACCGGACATGGCCCGTGCCGCAGCGGGGGCTCCGCTCCGCCCGAGGGCTGACCCGAGCCAAGGAGCAGGGAAAGCCACGTGGACAGTGCTACTTCTCTCCTCGCAATAGGGGGGACGTTGGCAGTGAGGGAGGAGGACAGAGCCCAAGCCACAAGGCTGGGGGAGCCATGGAGGGGGAGCACCACGACTACCACCACGTCATCGCCACCGCCGCCGCCTCCACCTGAGAGCCTTACGCAGAACTGGCCAAGGGGGACAACGTGGATCTTCAGAGAGGGGACCTGGCTGCCTAGACTACCAGAAGGCCTTCTGGAGGACGACGAGTGGGAACCGCCGCACCTGGGAGCAGAAGGGCCAGGACAGACGCAGCCGCAGTCGGGGGACTATGGGACACAGTTCGCACAGCCCCAGCCACAGACGAGCCTGCATGTGGGGGGCACAGGCCCACAGCCACCCGCACAGACAGCCGACAAGCCGTATGGGCCCTGGACGCTCAGATACCCTGCGCCCTACGACCCGGCCAGCGACCCTTGGAACCAAGACGAGATGCAACAGCTGCCGCAGAGGGGGACCGAGGCAGCGGCTGAGCCAGGCCCCAGAGCGGAAGCGGGCCCAGAGGGCCAGACGGGGGCACAGAGCAGCGCGCTGCCAGCAGAGAGGAGAAGCCCACAGGAGGAGGCGACAGAAGGAGGGCAACCAGCAGCGGAGGCAGCACAGCCACCACACCAAGCCAACAAGAAGAAGGGGAGGAGCCGACCCAAGCCACAAGCAGAGCCAGCAGCGAACCCCCACGCAAGAACGGGGGAGCCGTCAGCAGTTGGAGCGAAGGAGGAGGAGACCGCAGTGGAGGAAGCAAGGGGGGCGACAGCCCACCAAGCCAGCAGCGATGCAGCAGCAAGAAGTCCCAACCACACACCGGTGCAACAGCAGCAGCAGCAACAAGAACAGGCGAGGAACACCCGAGAGACGGCCAACAGAGGAAGCGAAGCAGCCAAAGACGAGGAGACTACAGCAGTGGAGGAAAGGGGGATGACAGCCAACCAAGCCACCAGCGATGCAACAGCAGAAGGACCCAACCACACACCGGCACAGCCACAGCAAGGGCAGGAGCAGTCTACCCAGGAGGTGCCCAGCAGCACATGCGATATGACGGCCAACCAAGACAGCAGCAACACAGCAGCAGAAGGACCCCACCACACACATGCACAGCCAGAGCAAGCGCAGACGCAGAACCCTCAGGAGGAAGTCAGCAACGAGTGTGCAGCAGCACCAGAGCAGGGAGCAGACCCTGCACGCACGCAAAAACAGTTCCGGAGCTGGAGGAGGACCAGGCACCTGGGGGGGCATCCCCGTCCCGACCGTACCACGAGGGACAGGGGGATCAAAGGAGGGGGAATAAGCATACCAAAGCAGCGATACGAGCCGAATTCAGGAAGCAAGGCATTGAGAAGCCGTCGCATCTGTCCTGGAACGAGGCTGCGCACATGGTAGGGATGATCCCCTACGCGGAGGAAGACCAAGCGGAAGCAGAGGCCCCAGACACCCATTACCAGCCTCGGGGGCCAAGCAGCAGCGCAGACCCACCGCCGGGGAGCAAAGCTGACACCGAAGCCAAAGCAAAGCACGAAAGGGACATGGCACAGTTCGCGGCGGTACTCAACCTACACGAGCAGCCTAGACAGCCACGGCCGGGGATGCACGCTGGAGCGGGGAGTAGCAACGACCCGCCGCCGCAGCAAGCAGCCGCAGCAGCCAAGCCCGAAAAGGGAGCCAAGCCAGCCAAGGGGGAGGACACAACAGAGCAACCTCCACAGCCGACAGCAGAGGAGGAGCCGCAGCCGCAGCTTGAAGGGGCAGAAGACATAGCCCCCAGGATGGATGTTGAAGCAGCAGCGGGGACGAAAGCAGCCACAGCGGCCAAGCCAAGAACAGAGCAGAACGCCAACAGCAGCGACCAGCTGCCACAGCAGAGCAGACCGAGGCGCATACCTCCCAGAGAGGGGGACCAACGAGTGATGAGGTCCTTCCCGCTTGACTCCCCGGTGCAATGGTATACGGGGAGGAGCGTGTACATGGCGTCGATGGGGGGGTATCTGCCACCTGCCCCGCTACCGCCGGAGCTGCCTATCAGCAGCCTGGCCTTTGCACACTACAGATACCTGGGGCACGGGAGCTGGTGCGTTATGATCCTCTCGCGCACCTCGCTAGCAACGCCAAGCTACGAAAGAGTCAAGAGGAGGGGGTTTGCGAGAATCCGGCAGCAGAGCAAGTACGGCCACGAGGGGGACGTCCTCTCTATTCACATGTTCGTCAGAGCCCAGCCAAGACAGCGAGAGCCAGGCAGCAGCCACTTCCCCCCTGGCCACTACCGACTACACTGGCATCCAGGGGGGCAATACTGGAGCCTCAGCGACATGGACCCAGACGACGGGGAGATACTCCAGAGGAGCCGCAAGCAGCAGCTCCAGATGCCGAACATGTCGGCGCACATGCAAGAGCATGAGCTCGCACAACTTCAGCTGGATGAGCAGACAACCGCCACAATACGGGGGCTCAGACACCGGCTCCAACTACACGAGGAGGACCCCTTCGCGCCAAGAGCATACAGAGAAGAAGCCCTGGTCAGAAGCCTTCAGCCAGGGGGGGTCCCGCTCACTTTCCCACCAGACGAGATCTACGGGGAGCGCGCCCACCACCCGTGGGCCCAGCAGGTCCAGCAGCCAGGAGAACCAGAGCAGGAGACAGACGCAGCCACCAGCTCGTCGGCCTCAACCTCCACCTCGAGCTCCACAGCCGCAGAGGAGGAGGCAACAGAGCAAGCACAACCACCACAGCAGCAGCAGGCAGCGGCTACAGGGGGGCAACAGGCAAAGCCGGCACAGACACAGCGGCCCCAGCAGCCAACAGCCGAGAGGGGGCAAGCAACAAGGCCAGCGCAGACACAGAGGCCCCACACAAGGGCAGCGGTGGCGACGGGGGACAGCTCCTCCTCAGGCAACTCCATGCGCTATGAAAGGCAGCAGCAAGAAGGAGAGAGGCCTGAGCCAAGCGAGCAGCCGCAGAGAACGCAGCAGCCCGCTGGCTACTCTTACTACTCACTACTCGCTTGAAGCTAGAGCGGACTTCATGCCCAGCGAACGACCTGCACAACGACCGGCAGCAACACCCAAGAGACCACCCCCACAACCACCGAGCGACTCTGAGAGCAGTTGGCCAAGTGAGGACCCACCACACGAAGCCCCCGAGCACAACTCCCTGATGCAGACAGGCGCTCAGGGGGGCAGACCGGGGCCGACCAACACCACAAGCGCCACTTCAGACGTACAGGCAACAGCGGCCGAACAAGAACAAGCAAGGGACTCGGCAGAAGCCGAAACAGTGCCGTGGCTGGCGCCACCATGTGCAGGGGGACTGGGCCTGCAAGCCCCAGCGACCACAGCCCCGGCAGAATGCAGCAGCACCCTCTTAGAGGGGGACATGCCAGGCACCACCACGGAGGAGGAGATGTGGGGGGCGACCAGAAGGAGGGAGCGCGGAAAGCCTGAGCAAGACAGGGGGGTCAGGAGGAGGAGGTCAAGCCGCAGCCACGGGGGAGCAAGCAACATGCCAAGGGACAACAACATGAGCACGCCGAGCCCGCTGAAGAGAGCACGGAGCCAAGCGTCCCAACTGCTGAGAAGCCAGACGGAGGAAACAATGGCAGCGTGGGAACAAGCCACGGCACCAGCAGCCAACAAAACACCAGCCCAGACTGTGCAAGCAACGATCACTGCGGCAGCGGACCACATACGTGAAGCAGAGCAGCTAGCGAGAAGCATTGAGCTACACGGGGTAGCCGCGTACCTGGGGGCCGCAACCACGCAGCTCCAGCTGAACGCGCCAGGGGGGACAGCTCGCCCGCAGCAAGCCCTCCCAAGCCCAAATGCCTTCGAGATAGCAGCCATGGTGGCGGGGGTCATGGCAGACAGGGCGAGCCAAGGAGATGCGCCGGAGGGGACGACGGAGCTGCTGGAACTACAAGAACTGGTGCAGGCCGGCCAAGCCCTTCTCCTGGGGGGAAGAAGGTCGCAAGACTGGACCCGCACGCACCACGCTACGGACGCGGCGGACGACGCGGAGGCCTTGCTGCACGCGACGATCCGTGCCGGGGGAATGGGGGACTTGGCGGAGACCACGCTCGGGACCCTGCAGAACCTGCTCAACGCGGCGGTCGACGGTGTCAACGTGCTCGTCCCGCACAGGGGGGAGGCCGAGACGACGCAAGCACACCCAGCAGATGCACTACAGTTGGACAGGGGGGCAACAGAAAGCCAGCAGCGGAGGGGGATGGAAGCGGACGCAGTGCACGTCTACAAGGCCAAGAAGCTCCTCAGAGACCTAA